CACCAAAATGGACAAAAAAAAAAAATTTTTAAAACTGAAACTGAAGCTAAAACTGAAACTGAAACTGAAAAAAAAAATAAAACTGAAACTGTTTTTATTGCTCTTTTTTGCTTGTAAACAGAAAAAAAAAGCTTGTAATAAAAAGGTAAATAAGTATAGAGATCAAAATGCATGAAAAAAAGCCCACCAAAATGGCCAAAAATGACCGATTTTTGATCAAAACGTAAAAAAAATAGCCCACCAAAATGGCCAAAAATGACCGATTTTTGATCAAAATGAAAAAAATATAACCCACCAAAATGGCCAAAAATGGTCGATTTTTGATCAAAAAAAAAAAGCTATAGCCCACAAAAATGGCCAAGAATGACCGATTTTTGATCAAAAAAAAAGGGATATAGCCCACCAAAATGGACAAAAATGACCGATTTTTAAAAAAAAAAAGGAAACTAAAACTAAAACTGAAACTGAAACTCAAACTGGAACTAAAAAAAAAACTGTTTTTATTGCTCTTTTTTGCTTGTAACTTAACAGAAAAAAAAAAAAAAGTAATAAAAAGATAAATAAGAATAGAGATCGAAATGATCAAAATGAAAAAAATATAGCCCACCAAAATGGCCAAAAATGACCGATTTTCGATCAAAAAAAAAAAGCTATAACCCACCAAAATGGCCAAAAATGGTCGATTTTTGATCAAAAAAAAAGGGCTATAGCTGACCAAAACGGCCAAGAATGACCGATTTTTGATCAAAAAAAATGGGATATAGCCCACCAAAATGGACAAAAATGACCGATTTTTAAAAAAAAAACTGAAACTAAAACTGAAACTCAAACTGAAACTCAGACTTAAACTAAAAAAAAAACTGGAACTGAAACTGAAAAAAAGGTGCTTGTAACAAAAAGATAAAAAAATATAGAGATCATAATGATCAAAATGCATGGACTATAGCCCACCAAAAAAAAAAAGAAAAAGGACGCATTTTTAAAACTGAAACTGAAACTGAAACTGAAAAAAAAACTGAAACTGTTTTTATTGCTCTTTTTTGCTTGTAACTTAACAGAAAAAAAGGTGCTTGTAATAAAAAGATAAATAAGTATAGAGATCAAAATGATCAAAATGCATGGACTATAGCCCACCAAAATGGCCAAAAAGGACCGATTTTTGAAACTGAAACTGAAACTGAAACTGAAACTGAAACTGTTTTTATTGCTCTTTTTTGATTTTAACTTAACAGAAAAAAAGGTGCTTGTAATAAAAAGATAAATAAATATAGAGATCAAAATGATCAAAATGCATGGGCTATAGCCCTCTAAAATCGCTGAAAATGACCCATTTTTGACCATATCCATGAGTATGTTACCTTCAAACTGAACCATTTTTGATCAAAAAGCATGGGCTATAGCCCAGCGAAATCGCTGAAAATGCCTCATTTTTGATCAAAATGCATGGGCTATAGCCCACCAAAATCGCTCAAAACGACCCTTTTTTGATCAAAGAGCATGGGCTATAGGCCACCAAAATCGCTCAAAATGACCCTTTTTTGATCGAAATGCATGGGCTATAGCCCACCAAAATCGCTCAAAACGACGCTTTTTTGATCAAAAAGCATGGGCTATAGCCCACCAAAATCGCTCAAAATGACCCATTTTTGACCATGTCCATGAGTATGTTACATTCAAAATGACCGATTTTTGACCAAAATGCATGGACTATAGCCCAGCAAAATGATCAAAAATGGCCGAATTTTGACCAAAATGCATGGACTATAGCCCACCAAAATGTCCAAAAATGGCCGATNCAGAAAAAAGGTGCTTGTAACAAAAAGATAAATAAGTATAGAGATCAAAATGATCGAAATGCATGGACTATAGCCCACCAAAATTGCCAAAAAGGACCGATTTTTGATTACATTGCATGGGCTATAGCCCACCGAAATGGCCAAAAATGACCGATTTTTGATCAAAATGTATGGACTATAGCCCACCAAAATGGCCAAAAATGACCGATTTTTGATCAAAACGCATGGGCGATAGCCCACCAAAATGGCCAAAAATGGTCGATTTTTGATCAAAATGAATGGGCTATAGCCCACCAAAATGGACAAAAATGACCGATTTTTAAAACTGAAACTGAAACTAAAACTGAAACTAAAACTGAAACTAAAACTGAAACTGAAACTGAAACTGAAACTGAAACTGAAACTGAAACTAAAACTGAAACTCAAACTCAAACTCAAACTCAAACTGAAACTCAAACTGAAACTGGAACTAAAACTGAAACTGTTTTTATTGCTCTTTTTTGCTTGTAACTTAACAGAAAAAAAGGTGCTTGTAACAAAAAGATAAATAAGTATAGAGATCAAAATGATCAAAATGCATGGACTATAGCCCACCAAAATTGCCAAAAAGGACCGATTTTTCAAACTGAAACTGAAACTGAAACTGAAACTTTTTTTATTGCTCTTTTTTGCTTTTAACTTAACAGAAAAAAAGGTGCTTGTAATAAAAAGATAAATAAATATAGAGATCAAAATGATCAAAATGCATATATCCCACCAAAATGGCCAAAAATGACCGATTTTTGATCAAAATGCATGGACTTTAGCCCACCAAAATGGTCAAAAATGACCGATTTTTGATCAAAATGCACGAAAATGGCCAAAAATGGTCGATTTTTGATCAAAATGAATGGGCTATAGCCCACCAAAATGGACAAAAATGACGGATTTTTGAAACTGAAACTGAAACTGTTTCTATTGCTTTTTTTTGCTTTTAACTTAACAGAAAAAAAGGTGCTTGTAATAAAAAGATAAATAAGTATAGAGATCAAAATGATCAAAATGCATGGGCTATAGCCCACCATTTTGATCGAAAATCGGCCATTTTTGGCCATTTTGGTGGGCTATAGCTCATGCATTTTGATCGAAAATCGACCATTTTTGGGCATTTTGGTGAGCTATAGCCCATGCATTTTGATCGAAAACCGACCATTTTTGATGGACATGGATGGTCTATAGGACCCTATCGCCCACCAAAATCACTGAAAATCACCCATTTTCTCTGAAAAAGCATGGGCTATAGCTGAAAATCATCGATTTTTGATGAAGATGAAAATCACTGAAAATCATCCACTTTCGACTAAAATGCAAAATCTCCGATATTTAGTCGGGCTAGCCGAAGTCTAGGTCGACTTCGTTTTTACCTTTTAGCCAATCTATCTATCTGTGTATTTTTGTGGCGTTTGAACCACCGGAAGTTATGATTTTAATCATTAACTATTGGGCTGACTGTGTACATAACCGGAAGCTCAAACGTATAGATGTACGAATATATAATCGTTAGTAAATGTTATACAACTTTTCAGTAAAATCAGACGTTTTGATTGGTTGGCTTTCGTGTGTTATCAAAGTATAGATACACGGATTACGTCAAAACTAATTGTTTGTTGTATAAAACAGATAGATCTCATTTTTCCGTGCGTGTGTACTCTAATAGATACACAGATGACGTCAAAATGTAGTGAGAACAACAGTCACGCACTCGACTGCGTCTCGTGCGTACTTTTTTGTTCTCACTACATTTTGACGTCATCTGTGTATCTATTAGAGTACACACGCACGGAAAAATGAGATCTATCTGTTTTATACAACAAACAATTAGTTTTGACGTAATCCGTGTATCTATACTTTGATAACACACGAAAGCCAACCAATCAAAACGTCTGATTTTACTGAAAAGTTGTATAAA